CAGATTTATTAAAATACAGAAAAGTATAAAAAGAAAGCACCATGGCCCATAATTATTACCGATCATTATCCTGTTATTCAGAGAACTCTTGACTTTTTCAAAAAAATAAAATAGGGATGAATGCACACGTCTTAGTTTAGAAAATGAAAACAGTACAAGAAAGTGTAAAATTAAGACTCTTCCTAGCCCTTACTCTCTCTCTCTACAAAGTTAACTATTGTTAACAGATTCACAAAATTTCCGATTTTGTGTATATCCTTTTTGTTTATACAAAATGTATAAATAATGTATATCCTGTAGATTCATTGTATATGTATATAATGTATATATCCTTTTTGTTTATACAAAAATAATCATATTACGTATACTCTTACTTAAAACGTATCACCAGCTCCCTTGTAAGGACATAGCATTTATGTAGGGTAGAGTAGAGAGAGCTTAAATTTTACAAGCATTACAAATTAAAAAGGAAACAGAATCATTAATACTTTAAAGTTGTAGAGAATTTTCTGTGCAACTCAATGTGAAGAAATCAAAAAATTAAGTATAATCGATTAATTCTGGGAAAAAACATTATTTGGAATTAAAGAGAACTGACCTAGAAATTTGGACAAATTGTTTCTTTTTTTTTTTTAAGATTTTATTTATTTATTTGAGAGAGAGAGAGCACAAGCAGGGGGAGCAGCAGAGGGAAAGCGAGAAGCAGACTCCCCGCTGAGCAGGGAGCTTGACTCGGGGCTCGATCCCAGGACCCCGGGATCCTGACCTGAGCCAAAGGCAGACGCTTAACTGACTGAGCCACCCAACCACCCCGGACAAATTGTTTCCGATGTTTAAGGAAGAGATTATTCTCATGCCGTGAAATAATTTTCATGCTATGTCATCTATGCTATGCAAATTTCCAGGTCACAGAAAAAAAAGAAAAATTACAAAGCAAGCATAACCAACGTGTGCAAATTTGGCAAATTCAGCCCCTGCCCAAAAAACAAATCAAAACCAAAGGTACTGATCAAACTTATTTGTAAATTAAAAATGCAGAGATCCTTAACAAAGTATTAGAAAATATAACTCATCCATATATTGATAAAATAAAATACTAAGACCAAATAGGTTTTATTCAATTAAGGACAGAATGTCCTAACAGGACATCTATTTTTACCACTTATCCTAAAAGAACACCACACTGTAATACCTAGAAGACAGGAATCAGGACCTTTGGAGTTCTTTACCCCTGTAAACTCAGTACCAAGCACAGGTGCCTGGGACAAAATAAAATTTTAATAAACATTTCTTAAGTTAATGAAGAAATCAATTAAGTCGATGAGAAAAATCAAAGGAGAAAAGCCTTGAATATTCATAAATGTCCAAAGTTATCTGAAGAGATTCAACATCTACCCCTGGTGAAAAAATCTTACACTGTAAATACTAAGACTTTCTTGATATAAAAAAGAACATCTAAGCCAAATCACCACCACATCATGCTGAATAAATTATTGGACATATTCTTCTAATTCGAAGTCAACAGTGGCCATAATTTTGAAAAAACTTTTCTGGAATTAGGCCAAGAAACAAGACCTGTAATATGAATAAGGAAAAAATTATTATTTGCATGATACTTAATTGTTTACCCAGGAAATCCAAGAGAATTAAGTTTTTTTAAAAAAGTCAACTAAAATGGGGTGCCTGGGTGGCTCAGTTGGTTAAGCGACTGCCTTCAGCTCAGGTCATGATCCCAGACTCCCAGGATCGAGTCCCTCACTCATCAGGCTCCCTGCTCAGCGGGGATTCTGCTTCCCCCCCGACCCTCCCTCCTCTCGTGCTCTCTCACTCTCTCTCAATCAACTAAAAAGGATGGGCCGGTAAGGTAAACCATTAAAAGTAGAAATTAGATGTTGGGTACATGGCTGTTCAGTGAAAAATGCTTTCTACTTGCGGTTTTGCTTCAAATTTTTCAGAGTAAAATGTTGGGGAAGAGATGAGAATTAATAAAATATTTCAGCAGCATAGTCAGTTAAACAAACAAACACAGGTTGAATTAACTACACTAAGACCACAATAACAACTCTGGAAAAACAACAAATGAATGATCATATTTGACTGACAGAAACCCTATATAGAATACAGAATACCTTCAAATATAGAATATATCTTAGAATAACTGCAGAATACAGACTATCATAGTATACCTGTAAAAAAGGATAATGTGGATGAAAATTACAAGTTCTGTTTTAAACTAATGCAGACAAAGGAACTAAATACATATTATCAAGCAAAACCATCTGAGAACTGAGGACTTACTTAGACATTCATGAACTTCCTTCAAGGCTAACTTGAATTCCTGAAAATTGCATAAACCTAGTGAAAGAAGAAAGCAAATACGATAATCCATTAGCGACAAATTACCCTAGTATTCTGACAGCAAAAAAATTATGTGAAATGTATTTGATTTCTTAAAATAAAATTACAAGATAATTTGATTAAACAAAAACATTATTACTTAAACATTGCTATAAATGGAAATATAATGTATCTTGAGTTTTTAAGACTCTCTTAAGATTGACCTGTCATTTCAGCAATTCAATTTTGACTTACAGATGACTTGTATCAACTGTGGACAGGAAGAACAGTGGAAGCAAACAGACCCAGCAAATAGGATGTTGTCCCAGAAGCTGCTATGTTTTTGCTCTTATCCTCTGTTTTCTTTTAGCTTTTAGCTTTTGAATATGCAGGTACCTCACATCCAGATCAAACATCTTTCTGTAATAATTCTTTACATTTCAGTTATTTGTCTTGGAAACCTCAAGAGCTCAACAACCAAAACATCCCTGAAGACACACTGCAAGCAAACAACGCGGGCAGCATTTGTGGGTGGGCAAAGATGGGCAGGACACAGTTGCCACAGTCTGCAACTGACAAACTCTAGTCTAGGGTGAGCAATTATCTGAGATTACACCACAGCACAGTTCCTGCAGCACGTTTCCCAGAGGAGATCACCATACTTGGGATGAATCAATCTATTGCAATTTAACACACTCATGAATGAATCAGAGGAGGAGATGGAGGAGGTGACATGGGACAAGTCACCTTACCTCTTGCAGCCTCTAGCTTTTCTTAGCATTTCTTTGTCCCTGCAACAGGACAATTTCCACTCCCTGAGTGCAATCCTCTTCCTCACCTGCAAGTGCTTGCCATTATGTTGGTGTGAGCCTTCTTCCTCCCTCTCTGGCCCTTTCTGTGCTTTTCCCAGCCTCTTTCCCATTCAGACCTCAGCAGAGATGTAACTCATTTCTCTGGGCATCTCCCCTCAGCCTCCAGTCCTGAAGTAGGTACCCCTCCTATGAGCTTCCATAGAAACCCCCATCATGTTGCTTTTTATCACTTGTATATATCACTTGTATATATCACATGGGTCTGTTTTCCTCTCCAGACTGACTAGCTTTCAAGGTCTGGGGCTGTTTTGTCTTTTTCACTATTTTAACTCCAGGAACTAGGGTGATGCAAACAAATGTGCTTTGCAAACCATAGCGGGTGCAGTTAGTATAAATCATTAGGTGAATGGCGCCCCCTAGAGATGAGTAGTATACACCTGGCAGCAGGTCGAAGTTTTGTCATATACCAGTCTTAATACCGATGGCATGAATAAATATTAAAGCAAATATTCCCTGAACTCCTTCCTATTGCTAAAATTCTGTGACTATTCACAAATTTATAACATGAACTCGATTTGGGTATAAACTATAAAAACTGCCAAATTATATCCATAAAATTTAGACACGTATCAAATAATACTCAGTTTCTAATTTGAAAGGATATATGCACCCCTGTTTACTGCAGCATTTTTTACAAGAGCCAAGATAAGGAAGCAGGCTAAATGCACAGAGATGAATGGATAAAGAAGATGTGGAATGTGTGCATGTGTATGTGTATATATATGTGTATACACACACATATATAATATATATAATGGAATATTACTCAGCCATAAAAAAGAATGAGATCTTACCATTTGCAACAACATGGGTGGAGCTAGAGAGTATAATCTAAGTGAAACAAGTCAAAAAGAGAAAGACAAATACCGTATCATTTAACTCATATGTGGAATTTAAGAAACAAATGAACAAAGGAAAAAAGAGACAAACAAAAAAACCATACTCTTAAACACAGAGAAAAAACTGGTGGCTGCCAAAGGGGAGGGGGTGGAGGATGGGTGAAACAGATGATGGGGATTAAGAGTACACTCTTTGTAGGGGAACCTGGGTGGCTCAGTAGGTTGGGCATCTGCCTTGGCTCAGGTCATGAATCCAGCGTCCTGGGATCGAGCCCCTCGTCAGGCTCCCTGCTCAGCAGTCTGTTTCTCCCTCTCCTGTTGCCCCTCCCTGTGCTTGTTCTCTCTCTCTCTCTCTCTCAAATAAATATAATCTTTTTTTAAAAAAAGAGTACACTTATTGTGATGAGCACTGGGTAATGTGTAGAATTGTTGAATTATATTGTACACATGAAACTAATATAACACAAGGTTAATTACACCTCAATAAAAAAAGAAAAAATATTCCCTCAGAATTTATAGGCATAATCGGTTTTATACACTCGTATGAAATAACAGTTACAGTAATAGTAACAGTGAAATGTATTTATTGAAGCATTTAATAGAAGTAAATACATATGCTTATATATGTGAAAATTATACAAATATTTTTAAAAGATCTCTAAGATGGATATATTAAAATTATGTAAATACATAAAATCTTGTATCACTGTGGCCTTATAGATTCTTTTTTTTATTAAATGTTTAATGTGTTATTGTCACTATTCTTTCAATATTCAAATTGTCCAAATTTGGCCAGTGGGAGTCCTTTCCTGAACCTGTAGACATCTCCATCTTTTTACTGCTTTGTAGAGCACAGCACCTTAAGCCTAGTTTATACCTTCCCCTGTCTCAGCATCTCTAATTTCTGTAAGAAGCCCTAGTATCTCTATTTAGAAACCATGGCCTGAAAAGAGAGAATCAGTAATATAGAAGACCAAATGATGGAAAATAAAGAAGCTGAGAAAAAGAGAGATAAACAACTACTGGATCACGAGGGCAAAATTTAAGAGATAAGCGATACCATAAGACGAAACAACATTAGAATAATTGGGATCCCAGAAGAAGAAGAAAGAGAGAGAGGAGCAGAAGGTACATTGGAGCAAATTATAGCAGAGAACTTCCCTAATTTGGGGAAGGAAACAGGCATCAAAATCCAGGAGGCA